CGGGTTACTAGGTTTTCCTTCCTTCCTTTTTTTTTTTTAAAAAATTTTAAAAATTTTTTTGCTTTATTTAAAATATTTTTCAAAAAATTATAAAACATGCATCTATGCCTTTGGGCTCTTTGGAGCCGGGTGCCCTTCGTCATCTTCCTCGCGCTTCCTTTTTTTCTCCTCAGTCCTCTTTTCTGTAAGAGTTACGGCCTTCTGCATATAAACGATGACGCCCTCCTTTATATGCGTTCTCATGCTCTCCGTCACCATAAAGGTCTTTGAAGCATTCCATTTATCACGTCGAAGTTCTTTCTTTTGGATTGATTTGCCGATCTATAGTTGCATAAAACGAAAATAAATAAAATTAATGTTTTATTCAATTAATTATTTAGTCTTTTTTTTAATACTTACTTCTCGGCTAAACCCCTTGAAATCTACTTCATTGAAGTGGTGTTTGAATCGACTACAGTAATTAATCACTAGTTTATATATCTAAAGAAATAAATTAATTACAAATATAAATAAACCAAATATTCAGAATCTCGGATGAAAATAATAATAAAATTATATCGAAAGATGGTTGGTTGATTACTTACTGCCATTTTGAATTCTTTTTCGTTCATTTGTGTGTTCAATGGAACTCCGTGTGCGGCTTCAAGAGCTGCTCTCTCTTCAGCTTCTGCTTTCTCCCGTGCCGCTCTTTCCCTTTGTTTTTCGGCCTCTCGGGCCATCGCTTCTGCACGTTCGATTATTGCCTGTAAAGCTGCTTGGCTGAATCCATCGTAACTCTTGACATCATCTTTCACAATTGGTCGTTCCCAAGCAGTTTGCAGTGTATATTTGTTGTAGTAGTATACTTGACCATATTCATCTTTGGTTTCATACCAATTAGGGGCAAGTGGTTCCAATTGATCTTGTGGTGTCTGCTGCTGCTGTTGTTGTGGTAGTTCATTTTGTGATTCTGTAGATGTTGGCCTTAAATGTTTTCCACCACGTCTATTATTAACACCACCTAATCTAGAATTGCTATTGTAATTATTATTAAAAGTTGGACGTGGAGCGTATGTGCAACCATATGGATTATCGGGTCTCATTTTCACAATACCATCATAATAATCATGGGCGGGGACTTTACAGTCCAATGTTTTGCACCAATAATCAAATTGAGAGATTGATTGGAACGGTGAATTGCTTTCCATGTGTCTGTTGTAGAAATCATGACTTGAATCGTAACGATTAGGATTGAGTTCCTGAGGAGTTTTTAATACTTTATCGCATGCAGCACCTGGATAACTTGTGTGGTTTGAATGAATTAAATTTCTACGCTCGATAGTCCTTATTTTAACATCGGAATTTTTGTGCTTGAAGTCACGTTCAGTTTCTTTGCATTTGCCTTTATTAGCTTTTGCAGAAGGTGGTTCAATCTGAACTTCATCATCATCAGCCAAATCCTATGTTGAATTAAAACCCGAGCACATTTAATTAAAAGCACGGCCAAAATTAAAATCAAAAAAAAAGATAAACAGACATTTACCAAGGTATGATTTATATCTTGTTTTTGCAATTCATTCAATTCGGGGCCGCACGAGGGAAGTTTGTCCCATTTGTCCATTAGATCTCTAGCTTTTGCGCCAATTCGATCATTACGATCTTCGAATTTTGTAACCCATTCTTTTAAATGTGAAGTTTCGACGCGTCTGTCTTTATACTTGAAGGGAATCTTATCCGCAACGTTTAATGTCTGAAATAAAAGAATGAATTAATAACTTTGTAGTTATGATATATTTACATGATTAAATTGAACGCACTGATAAAAAGTATCATACTTTAAAGACAATTTCATCATCGTTTCTGAATTCATAAAGATAAGATTTAAGCATTATACCACCGAAAAGTTTCATAAACATTCTTAGGATGGCAACGTCATTGGTTAACTAAGGATCATCAATTGAGGAGATGAAAAAAGTTAATTCATATATAAACATCATCGCGAAATACTAAAATAATCAAAGAAAGGGTTAATAAATTCGTTGTTAAAATAAAAACTTACTTTCAGCCTGTATAAAATTGGCCGCACCATGCTTGGTTGTTCAAGAGATTTATACATTAAATTAATAAATTGTTTAACCCCATCAATATCTCGGATAGGTTCTTTCAATTCAGCTTCAATTTCAGCCTCGTCTTTGATGTCGAGGTTAGTTTCTTTTGTACCACCAATGACACCACGGCAATTTTGTTCCCCACAGTGACATTTTTGAGCCTGAGAACTAATATTATTAAAATAGGATAATAGGAAGAGCATATGATATCAATATAAACTATAGGAAAATAGAAGACTGCGATGAATATGGATGATAAATACTTGCCCGTAACGATCAGCGTTATAATCAAAGGTTAGCTCTTCACCTTCCCTGATGTTCCGTAATGCAAAGATACCGATACGATATCGATCACCAATCATCCATTTCTGGATGTAGCAGTTAGGATTGCAAGAATGATTCATAAATCTGGCAATACATCCGAATTTTGTTGCATCGATGATCTAAAGAAGGAATAATGAAAAGAAAATTCAATAACATATTGATGAAATCAATACAAACTATGATTAAATTCAGCACATAAATACCTCCCCAGCCTGTAAAGACATAAAGTAAAAGTGCTTTAGTCCTTGCTTGTTATAGGTGACCATGCGTTTCAAGAACGCATTGTTCTTGATCACTTCTCCGACGTATTCCATAATAAATTGATTACTAGATGGCGTATGAAAACAGTCAACAAAACTATACTAGAACAATAAAAATAACACTCAATGATAAATTTACATACGGTCGCATTGGATCCATTGCTCTTAGGCCATATCCCTTTAACGCAAAATGTATTACATCAATTCTAGCGTTTTCAGCCCGTTGGAATCTATGCAAAGAATGGAATTTAATAAATCACATAATACTTTTTCATAAATATATTCAAAATCTCAAAAGTAAATCTATACAAGTTAAAAAGAAATCACAAAAACATTCAAAAATATTCCATCCATCCATCCATTGAAAGAATTGCTCTTTTTAATTTGTTTATATATATATATCTTCATTAAAAAAAGATGCACTCAAGACGTTACATTATAATATCTTAAATTTTTCATTTATATAAATACATATTTTTTTAAAAAATTTCAATTAATTCGTTTACAATTGAACGCTCAAAAGCTTTCATTAACATTATTATTAATTATTATTATTATTATCATTATCATTCTTATTATTATTATTATTTGATGAGTAAATTAAACGTAATTATTTAGTTCAGAGGTAGCCCATTTAACTTACCTTCTGTTCTGGCAATGTTTGCCAGTAGTACAATCACCGTCGCGACATTCCATGAAGAGCTCACGGTTGACACAGCCCGCAAATTCACCACATGCCTGACTCGAGACATCTTTGCCTAGATAAGTGAGAAACGATAACATATTATATAGTATAACGTTGAAGAAAGAATAATTAATAACCGATTCATCTTTTCAATAAATCATCATTAAATATAATGTGAAAATATAAATCACCTGGCTCATATTTGCAACAACATCTATAATCGGTGTCCTGTTTTCCAACGAGACCGACGTTCCCTTTATAGACGTTTTCTTTAATTTCTTCGAACAATCTTTTTGCTTTATCGGCATAAGAAGGATATTCGTTGTAAAGTTTAACCATTTTGTATCGTTGCTGAGTGGGAGAGTGTTTAAAAATATGATAAATAAGTAAATAGTATAGTAAGAGAGAGCTTTCGCTAGTGTAAGTACAGAAAAAGTTTTTCTGAGGAGTTGCAACAAGACTTTGGTAAGAGTGAAAGGCAAAAGTTTAAGAAAGGGTCGTAGGTAAAAAAAAATTTTTTCGAATTTCCAAAATTTTTAATCTTTAATTTTTAAACAATCAACTTTGCACGTGAGATGGAATTGAAAAAAGAATAAAAAAAGGGAAGTTTGTTCAAATACCCCAGTGATGTTTTGTGTATATATTACTTAAATCCTTGCTAAGGTTAAATGAATTTCGGCCAACAAATTTCTAAAGCGGGATCTATGGTTAAATATCAATAGTAAATTCTCTGGAAATTTTTTTTTCTTTTTAAATGGCACAATTATTGATTCCAAAAATGGGAAAAGATTTATCAAACATTACAATATAATTACTAAAAAAATATAACCATGTGTACAGGTACTTCTGGTTTTTGAACCCGAAATGTGCATAAAACTTTTAAATAGAAAAGCTACAAAATTGGAAATAAATAATGAAAATTACCAAAGGGAAAAATAATTGAAAACAGAGATGTCCACTTTAGAATAAATTTAATTTCTTCTGTGATAAGTTGATGAAAACTCACTTCCTATTTATGGTAATATTGCTGTGAAACACCCGAATAATTCCCGGGATATTGCAAATCTTGACTTTTTATGGATTGCCTTGTGCAAAAAGCTGGGCGCAATTAATTTGAGGCGCACTATCACATTAACATCAACTCATTTATTGAATCACAATTGTTGTCAAAATACTCCGAATTTTGGGAATGATTGACAAATTGAGGAGTAACCTTAATTTTTACTTTACCATATAAAATTAATTTATATATTGTCCATTATTGCCGGAGACCCGCAGCAAATTTTTTGTTTAAAAAAGCGACAATTAGATATTCATGTGTCTTTTAAATATCCCATCATACTTTAATGAAATAATTCGAAATATTCGTCAAGTATTTTTTGGGGTGTCATGCCATTGGGTGATAAAAACTAAACCATGCATTGGGCCTATAATGAGTTTTCGCTCACGTGGTATTAATATCACATGAATATACAAACAATGAAAAATATAAATATCTGAAAAAAAATTTTCAATCTTACATTCATTTAATTATTTTTTACCTTACCTTATTATTATTATTATTATTATTATTATTATTATTATTATTCTATTATTATATTATTATTACTATTATAAATCATCATTATTTTTAACGTTATTGTAATGGCAAGTTCAAAAGCTAAAGGTTCAACCACGGGTACGCCTTCACATACCTCAACTTCCACTTCAACAGGAGGAGGAAATCATCACGGTGGTGGAGCAGGAGTTGGTAATATAAGCGGTGCAACTAGAGGAGAAAGTGGCAGTTCGACAGTAACTGCTTCTTCGAAACATCATAATAATAGTAATGTAACAGGAGAGACTCACGCTAAACGACTCAATAAAGGAAAAGAACTTGTTGGAAAGGAGATACCGACAGTAAGTTTCAAATCCAATACATCTTTAATATGTTTACCTTTCACTTGCTAACATCGCGAATAAATTAATTTTATTGTAGTTGGATTTTAATACACTTGATATTTCAGTGTTGCGTAGATATAAAAGGATTCATAAATTAAAAGTTAAAGATTATGCTACCAAGGAAGATTTAGTTGCCGCAGTGTCCAGACACTATGCCTTGCAACCAGTTAAAGAAGCTGATGTTATAGCGGCCTTTGTATACACGGTACATAATAAAGGTAAGCAAGTACATATAACTTTTTTTATTGAACTCGATAATCATTATAAACTAAATAAAATATTTTTTTATTTGTCTTAGATAATGTCTTGAAATTATCAATTCCATAAAATTCGTGTCAAGCTATTTGTCTAATAATATTTCATCAACCAATTCTGCAATTGCTAATGAAGAAGTTAAACCGGGACTTTCAATTCCAACCAAATTAACAAAACCTTCTAAACCGTGCTCGTCTTCTTCCTTTATGATAAAATCTTTAAAAGGGTCTTCAGGTCCTTGCAACTTTGGTCTAAAGATCAAATTTTAAAAAAATTTAAAAAAAAAATAAAAATAAAAAAATAGCAATAAAGAATCACTTTAATTTTTCAAAAAGGTACCTTATTCCTGTGTAGTCTGGATAAAGATTTTCTTGTTCAATTGATGGGATATAAGTTTTCACAGCATTAACAAAAGAATGGATTCTATCATGGTTCATGGTATAATCATTTGGACTATTTTGATAAAATACGTCAGGACCAAATCTTATTTTACCCTGTAAATCTAAAGTTAAATGAGTACCTAAATTTGTTAGGTTTCTTGGAGGTACCGGAAAAATTAAATGGTTCACTTTTAATTTATTTCCTTTGTCTCTATAAGCAAAATAATGACCTTTAACATAATAAAGTTTATAATGATGAGTAGGAGGTAATATGTAATTTGCTATTTGATCACTAAACAATCCGGCCGAATTGATAACAGAATTGGCGCGTATTGTAATTAAAAAATCATCATTCTCAATTTGGACCAAATATCCTTTATCTTGAGAACATCTTTTTATATCAACTACTTTATGCCTTAATGCGATATCTCCTCCCTGCTCTTTAATTTTCCATTCAAAATAATTCATTAAACTATGAGAATCCACTATTCCCGTCGTGGGTGAAACTAGAACTCTTTTGGCACTTATGTATGGTTCTTTTGCAGAAATTTCTGATTGTGGAAGAAAATACGTTTCAACTTGTATTTCTTTTGATTTTTCATGAAGATCTCGTAAAAACTGTTCTTCTTCAAAATCTTGCGCTATTATCCATTTACCAACTCGTGCAAAAGGAATTGATGAAGTTGAAGAGAGAAGATCGTATAATAAATGATTTCCTCTAATACATAATTTCGTTTTTAATGAATTGTTTGGATAATATAACCCTGCGTGAATTATTTCACTATTTCTTGAACTATACGGTTTGAGATAAAAATGAGTTAGTTTAGTAAAAAAAAAGATGGGAAAGGGAATCAAAGGATGATTACCTTGTTTCTTCACCTAGCCTTGAATTCTTTTCAACCAATATTACAGATTTGCCTTTACGTCTTGATAATCTTTCTGTTATTGATAATCCTACCACCCCACCCCCAATTATTAAATAATCTACTGAAATTTCTGGTGTAATGGAAGTAAGGAAACGTTTACTTAAAGATGAAGAATTTATGAGAAAAGCAGAGGGAGTTGGTAAGAATTTTGTAAAATGGAAATTTTTATATAAACGAGTTAGTGGAAACATTATATTATTTATGTGGAGAGAAATTTTACACATACAAAATCAAGACTGCGGATTATTAGCTAATCTGACTTGTGGATGTTACACAACCAACCATCATTTCTTATTTATACATCTGGATCTTTTTTTTGCTCTTCCCTCCTTTTTTTCTTCCATCTCTCTCAAAAAATATTATCGTACTTGAGGTAAAACATTTTTTTTTTTTTTTTGGGGAAATAAAAGTCAAAAAGTGATGATTAAGGCATTTGTCTGTTTTTACTTTGTGTAAAAATGATGAAAATTACGACAGCTACCTAATTTTGTCAAATATCTGATTAAAAAAAAAAAATTTTTTTTCTTTAATATACTTCTTCAAAGTACTAATTTATATTAACATAATTAATATTATTTTAGAGAATTTTCCTTAAACCAGAACGATTTACATAAATTTTTTTTTTTTTCATTTTTTATAATTTATTAAATAAAAATTAAAAAAATTTGATATTCCAAAAACGTTTCATTTTATTTAGGAAAAATAAGATCAATCAATTGTAAAATGTTTGATGGCTAATTAATTTCTGCAATAATATTTAAAATAGTGATTTAATGCTTTTGATTTCTTTGAAAATTACGTTTTTGACTCTTTGTAAATAATTTGATAAAAGGAACCATTCAATCGGTACCTGATTGTAAGTGTCAAATAAATAGTAATATTAAGTTATTTTAACTTTGTATCGCAATATCGTCCAAAAGAGGTTAACTAAAAATTTTTATAAATTCTTTCTGATCTGCGTTCTCAAAAAATAAGGCACATTTTCTTTTGAGATTTATCAGTAATGAATATTATCAATGCGTTAAAGTTAAAACCCGGATTAAATGTAATAGTTCTTTATGATGGTAAGTTAATAAAATAATAATAGGCTGACCCTTTTGTATATGCTAATTTATATCATTTTTCTCATTATTCAGGAGTATGTAATATATGCAACTTGGGCATACAATTTGTAATGAAACGTAATAACGCGTTACCAATAGTTCATTACGCTTCATTACAGTCGAAATTAGGGTTATCTTTATCAGATTATTACAACTTACCAAAAGATTTATCAACTTCCATTTTGTTGAAATATCATATTCCAAATGATTTTCTACAATCATACAATACCTCCTCTTCGATACCTAACAATTCTTCTCTCAACCTTTCTCATCTGAATGATGATTCTTTGAATGAAGCTGCTCAATTACCACAACCCGAATTATTTATGAAATCCGATGCATCAATAGAATTGGTTCGATATTTAGATAATCCTTGGCCAATTACTTATTATATCGCTAAAATCATTCCCAAATCTTTAAGGGATGGAATATATGATCGGTTCGCGAGAGGCAGATATCAATATTTCGGTAAATCTCCCCTTTTTTTTAACATATTTTTTTTTGTTTTGATACTCGAGAACTGAAAATTATTTAAAATGATTCTTTCTAGGTAAAACCGATTCATGTCAAATGCCTAAACCTGGTAATTAAATTTTTTTTTTTTTCGTAAAATCAAAAGTTGTAAAAACTTTATATATTTTTTGTAGAATGGAGAGAACGGTTTCTTGATTGGAAAGAATTTAAATTTATTAAATAAATTAGTCCCACAAAAGTCATAAACAACAATTTTTTCACGACCATTCTTAGTTAATACCGATTTATAGCGGAATATACCAAATCTCTATTATACTAGAATAAATAAATAAATAAAATTATAAATTGGGGAATGAAAATTTTTTTCTTGGTGCCCAGGATTTTATTATCCGGTGAAATTGTCTCTTCCAAGTAAACATCAATTTTTTTTTTATTCATTCGATTTTCGTTGTTTTTCGAACCGGAATTAACTTCAAAGCGCACTTTTCACATCAATCGACTTACTAACAATATGCATAAAAATTCAGATCAAACGAAAAAGAAAGTGAGGGGAAAAAAAAGTGTAAGGATAATTATGTAAGGAATGGCGCATATAAAATTAACATATTGTAAAAATCTTCAAATAAATTAATGATGAGCGAATGTGCTTACGTTGCACCAATTTCAAATATTCCCGATCTTGAATATGCAGTATGTTCAACCTTAAAAACCTTAACAAAAAAAATTTTCTTTGCTTTGCCATGACTATTTTTACCAAATTTATGGGTTTTTTTTTTATTTTGTCAGATGGATATGAAATTTCCTCGAGAAATCGAGAAGTAAAAATTTGATTTTGTTTAATCACGTGTGAAATTTATATATACAGTATTAACCCCAATAAATTCAAGAAGGGCTAATTTTCGTCATTTCGTCATTCATAAGGTAAATTGACGACAATATGATTTCACTATGTCAGAAATACGAAATTATGACCGATTTATCAAATTATTCCAAAAAATATACATATATAAATTCTTATTTTACGAAATTATGATGGAATTTATATTCATGATATTTAAAAGTATAAAATATGATCGAATTCCCCACCCTTCAAAAAAAAAAAAATAAAAATAAAAATAAAAATAAAAATTAAATTATAAATTTTCTATTCCCATTTTTCTTTTACGTGTAAAAAAGAAACAAAAATGAGAGTCTCGCTACGAATATTTTCATTGGTAGCTCTTGCCTTCTTATTTGTTATAACGATAGTCGATGCGAGCAAATATGGTTCGTCTTTCAATTCAACGCCCTTCTTCTCTTGAAGGTGAATGGGTTCAAAATAACTGACATTTTATATATTTTATATTACGTTATTTTTTATAAAAAAAAAAAAGATCCAACAGATCCATCAACTTGGTCTTCGCATGAGTTAAAAGAGTGGTTAGCTGAAAATCGATTAACCTATGATGGAATTCCCGAAAAGAATGAATTATTGAATCTTGTAAAATCCAATTGGTACGAATTTAAAGATCGAGCAAAATCTTCGACTGAAGCTACAGAATCTTTTATTAAAAAATATATTGATATTGTTAAAGAATGTGAGTTTATTTTTATTTTTTTCTTCATGGTTCTACTTGATGGTTGAATTTAAAAATACAAATTTTTTTGACGTTTTGTTTGATCATATTATCTTTAGCATCTTATGAAACCAAAGAGCTCACCGGAGAGAAATACAATGCTTTTGTACAAGAAATAGCCGATCAAATCGAAACCCTTCGACAATCCACCGGTCTCACTGAAGAACAAGTTCAATCGACATTTAGCGGGATTACCAAGAATTTAAAGGGAACCAAAGATGCTGCCAATAAAAATTTACAACGTGCTCTGGATGAAGTTAAGAGATCTTACACAATGTCTAAGGCAAACAGGGATGTCCTCATCCAAGAAACCACAAATCGAGTACAAGATGATCTCATCAAAACCAATCAAGTTTCTCAGGATACAGTTGATTGGTTTAAGGATCAAGTCAGTAAAATGAATGAACAAGCGGCTTTTTCGAAGGCACGAACTGAAACACAAGTCTCTTTGGTTTTGCGAGGAATTCAAGAACAACTTACTAAAAACAAAATGGCCACTGCAGATCAAATTAATTCCATAAACGAAAAATTGAATAATTCTGTTAAATCATATTACCAATCAATCGAGAGTACATTGGAAAGGTTGGGTCATGATCTTTCTAAAAAATTTGGCGGATCTTCAGACTACATTGTTGATGAATTGCGATCTCAATTTTCTAGCGTTAACGATTATCGTTTACTCACTCAAGAAAAGATTCAGAGTGCTGTTGACGCTATTGGACAAAAATTTTCAAATGGCAAGAATATGACTGTTGAACAGTTTCAACAAATTAAACAAACCATCAATAGATATTTCGGTTTTGTTAAACAATATTACGATAGTGCTACCGGTCAAGCAAAACAAACTGCCTTCGAAACAAAGGAAGCTCAACAAGAACGTTTAAACCGTGTTCTTGACGCCGTTCGATCTTATTTTATGGACACCAAAGACAAAAGCAGCAAACAATTGTCCAAAATTATAAAAGAAGCGGGGGAAAATATTTCGGCTACTCAACAACTTACTGCGGAACAATCCAAGATCTTATCCGATACTATTCAGGAACAGCTTGGAAATGTTAAAGATTCTCGTGACATTACCGAGGATAAGATGAATTCCTTCATAGAATCGTTAAGAAGTCGATTCGCTAGTGTTCGTGATTACGCATCAGATACTTATGACTCTGCTTCAAAAAAGATTGAAGAAGGATACGATGTTGCTCAAAACAAAGTTTCTACTGGTGCCGAAAATGTTGCTGACCGTTTTGGAGAGACTTATAAGAGCGTAAAAGATCAATTTGCTCCACCACAAAAAGATGAATTATAAGTGATTCGAGAAGATATATGAAAATAATGATTAAATTATTCCTTAAAAGACATTAAAGGCTTATTATAATTCAAATTATTCATCCTTTTCTTTTTTTTATTATAATAGTTATTCTCGTGTAAATTTAAAATAAAAAAACTTGTTCGAAACGTTAATTTAAAAATGTGGTGGCTTTTTTTAAAAATTTTTTTTTTTTTTATCAATCTTGCCTTGCGTAAACAAAAAAAATAAAATAAAACGAGTCCGATTTGTTTTTGGCCAAATATTTGTTCAGTATTTTACATACGCCCCGTGGTGGCAGATGCAACTTGAACGAAAAATCGTGGCTTGAACTGATTTCCCAAATTTAAAGATTTTAAGCTTAAATTAATCAAAATGATAAGCCAATTTTTAGTAGAATGAAATTTTCGGGAGGCTTTTTGAGTGATTGAGATGATGAGAAGGTTTTGGCGCAACAAAGAATTTAAAAATGACCGTTTTATTCTAAGGAAAAAAAAAAATTTTGAACCTCGCCCCACAATTCATTAAGGAAGAGCATCGAAAAAGGACGTCATATAATTTTTAATTTTTCCCATAACATTTTTAAAGATTAAACGGTTGTTAACGAGTGAGTTAATGAGTTGCTTATTATTCATTATTATTATTATTGATTGAAAATGGAGTAAAGTGCGAGCTGTACCCATGTTACTCGATGGAAAAACGCGATGGAAATTAGCCATGATAATGAATTAGATTATTCATCGCCATACGTGGCGATGTCTCTATCATCCACATCATGAGAGATTCGAGTCATGATAACTTTTGTTTACCAACATTCCAAGATAAGTCAAGATCCCCATTTCATTTTACATGTTTATATGCCAATCAAAATTAAACACATTTTAAAATCTTTCGTCAAATTGAAGATAAAAGCCACAGTTCAATTCAGCCTTCCCAAATTTTTTTATTAATTAACTCGCTATCAAAATTTATTTTTTTTTAAAAAAAAGGAATTTTTTAATCTTTTTCTGTTAATTACCGAAATAACGAAAAACAAAAAAAAGAAATAATTTAAAATTGGCCCAAATTGTACCTATAATAATAAAAAAATTCAAATACAGTCACCATGTCCTCAACCAATTCTAGCCCTACAGAACATCATATTACCTCACGAACTTGGAATAGCGAGGGCATGGTGATCTCAAACATATCAGGCGAAACAGGTATTTCGCAACTTATGGAAACAGCAACATTTATTTATCCCATAAATTTGTCGGCTTCTACCAATGAATCAAAAAATACTACCGAATCACAACAATCAAATATTGCTTCTTTACCGCAAAATAGTATTTTTCCATATGATTTTATATGTGTAGAAGAGTTGCGAAAACTTGCGGAAGTTAGCAATCAAATTTATTCTTCGACATCAAATACTTCAAATTCGACATTGCCAGTAGTTGACCATGTTCCTACAACATCGACAAAATCGATTCAACCAGCTTCATTCAATTCATCTGCTTCCTCACCTATATCGGAAATTGATGGTTCAGAACGATCATCTTCCTCTTATTTTACCAATGAAGAAAATAATAATAAGAAATCCATAGGAGGTCGAAAAAGGAAAGTTGAAAGTTTAGAAGAAAAGGAACAAAGACAACGTGACAGGTATGAATCATTGAACCCAACATTGGGATTTGTCTCACATTTTTTGACGCGCACAATCTTTTTTTTTATATATAGAATACTTCGAAATCGTCATGCTGCGCAAATGTCACGTGATAAAAAACGACGGCAAATGGCGGACCTTGAATCTCAAAATATTATGCTAAAAGATGAGAATTCTCATCTTTCTACACGATTAAAAGTTGTCGAAGAAGAAAACATTGCATTATCCGAGAAACTTGATACAATTTCAGCACAACTGGTTGATATTCAATCACATATCGCCGTATCCGAGATGACCAAAGTCCTACTTGGCGGTGTTTGCGGATCAGCAGCATCCGCGGCCTTGGAATCCGACTCTCTTGCGTTGAATGATGGTAAGGAAGGAAATATCACTTTTAACGGTAATGAGATACTAGAATCTTCCTCTAGGTACGTCTCCAATGCAAGAGAGTCCTCCAAGAAGTCCCAGCAGCGGCACGTCAAGATGTGGAACCTTTACGGGACGTTGTCACAAATCCATTCTTTTCCGATTTGGATGCTTTCAACACAAGTACTGAATCAGCTATTTCTGACCTTCTCGATAGTTTTTTGGACTATGATTGGTCAGCAGAAGAATTATCTTCTATTGGACGATCGGATGGTATTTGTTGACGACGTTGTCATCTTGGAACTCACTCATCGTTTTAATACTAAACGAAGGATGAGATCCGTAAAGGCTCTGCGTGGTAGCGCTTCAAATCTGAGGCGTGTCCCACGTGATTGGAGGAAATATCCACCATAACACCACTGAAAATTTTTTTTTCTATAATAATTTGGTTTGTGCACTAGAAAACCTACGAGTGGCCAAAATCCGTCTAAAAATCAATGATTGACAGAGAAATTCCTTTAGTGTTAGGTCACAATGTACTTATTTATCAACGGTCTGTAACCTTTTTCGATTATCATTGGAGGCTTTATTTTCCTTTATTTTTTTCTCGAACCCATTTTTTTTCTTTTTCTTGATATACAGTATTATTCCTTATTCTCGCAACAGACAGAAATATATATATAACCTATTTCCCTTTTTTTCCTATGTTGAGTAAGTCTTAACTTGTTTATAATTTTCAATTCATATATTTATGTACTTATAATGTTAAATAAATCCTTTGAATTTTTATTAATATAAGTTTGGTCATACAATTTACTTATTTATTTATTTAAATCATAAGTGAAATGTATACTACAATAAAAAAAAAAAAAAGGGATATTAAAAATATCGGCGTAATAAATTCTTAAAACCTACAATTATGTTACATATAATAAATTTATAATACAAATCTAAAGAAAAGTAAATTCCTAATATAATGATTTTACTTATATAAGAAGGGGATTCATATCCCCCATTGCTGATGAAATAAAAGAACCATTTTGTGTATCTTCATTAATATTAGTCCAATGTTTAGGACGATTTAATGGAGATACTCTACCTTCAGTCGAAGGCCAGTCCAATTGCATATCAAGCATTGAATATCCATCATAAATAAATGCAGGTGGTGCTTGAATATTATTAAAATTAAAATTTAAATCTTGTGGAATGTAATTATATTCGAGATAATTATCATTTTGATTTGAATTATCTTCGTCTTTTCTTAATCGTAAAGCTCTTGGTGAAAGTGGATCGGGTGAACGAAGCCAATCTCCCCCCGTAAAAGTTGCATCATTATACCAACGTAATGGGGTTGATAATTGTTCGGGTAAAATAATAGAAGAAATATTATCAAGGTTGGTTTCGGCAACAGAATTATGATTATCAACACGATTACAATAGGTCTTAAGTCCTACATCTGGATTCGCAACAGGCATTCCTTGTTCTGAACCTTTTCTCTTAAAAAAGAACACATTCTTTGTTAAATCTTTTGATTTCTGATTATCGGATTGAGCGAATTGAGCCTTTCTCATTTCCTTCACAATACAATGTAACTTGGAAGACATTGCCCAATAAGGACCCATTAATTTCAAGAAATTTTCATTGATAGATAAATTCATTTTAGCTTCTTCTGCGATTTTGATATCTGAACTATAAATGTCATTGAGATGAATAGTTGTGGTGGCGAAAATAGGATATAAAATAAATGGGCACATAAATTGACATCCGTATTGGGTAATATCTGATGCTATGGAGGAAACAAACTTTGCTGCTGCACTACATCTTTCTGCTGACGCGCGCATAAATTCTACGTGGCAATCCGCGACTTCATCATTTTGAAGAGGAGCAATATTTGGCCGATTCAATACTACTATCGCTGAATAGTAAAGTAAATGAATCGAAGCAAATGTTGAACCTAACCCATCTGCTATTAATTGACTCATTCTCTCTCTGGTATAAGTATAATGAGGCGATAATGAGGAGTACCAATCTTCTAATTCTTTTTCTAATATAGTAAATTGAGAATTTGGGTCCCAAGTTGGTAATGCATCATATGGCTTAGATCTATTAACGTGTTGACAAACGCGTCCGAGTAAAGCTGTGACGCTAACAAGAGATGCACTCATTCCAAAGTTTGTAAGAGTTAAACGAACATCTTGCTTAATTTGTCCAACTTTGAGACATTCATCAATTGATGGGTTTTCAAGAGGATGTTCTAAATTCCAAACCGACTCATTACAAGGTAATCTCACATCACAATCATCTTCATCAATTAATGTTGGTCGACCAAGTGCACAAGCTGAAAATCTATCAAGTAGAAAACATGACCAAAATGTACGTCGTTTAATTTCTTTTTGAATGAACGTATATTCAGGACTTGATTTCGAAGATTTAGATTCTGAAGTATCTTCTTCTACTTTATGAAGACCTAACTCTTGTGCCATCCTTACTGCCATTCCACTATACATCCATGCTCTAGGTCCTTTGCCAATACCGTACATATGCACAGAAAGCAATAACAACCCCTGAACGTGTTCAACGGAAGGATTATCGAAAGTTTCAAACAAATATTCGTTTGCAATAGCCGCAAAAGGTTCGCCGGAAAGGTAAGGAGGTCTCCGAATGATAGATGGATTCGTAGAATATCTAAATTTATTAAGAAAATGACATAATTAGCATAATTGATTTATCGTTGATAAGTTATCGATCAACTGAATTTGAGTTTTTAAGATTTACCTGGCACTTACAGCACAAATTGCGAATACTAGAAATGGTGCAACTTTATTCTGCCTTAAATGTTTCATAAAAGTAGCTTTATGAAACATTGGCATTTGAATATCTATATGACGAAAGAAACAAGCGGCAAGATGCTCGACGATATCTACCGGCGGTAACCCATTTCTACTACGAATAACCGCAGTTATTGAAGGATTTATTGAATCGCCATCCATTGAGTTGGAAGATTCGGACGCAGATGAATGATTATGATTTTCCGAAGAATCGCATATCATCGGTAAATCTATATTACAATGGACGAACAATTCCTTCATATTACGAAATCCTGGTTTTGCGGCTGATTTTCCAAAGAATATAAGTTCATCAGATTCATCGTCATCATTTGCAATACTTCCTGACTTATCTTCATTATAAAATTGTTCATGTGTAGTTTGTTGTTCGAGTTGGGGGAAAATATTAATAAACGCCGTTTGTGATTGTGATTGCTGATCATCGGTATTATGAGATGCATTATTGGATGTATAATTATTTATGGGGATTTCAGATTTCGGTTCAACATTATCTATATTTAACCGTGGTTTTTTCACAGATTTTTTATCCTCTACGTCATCATCAATTCTTTGTTCTTTAAGAGGTTGTAAAAGTTTTTCCATCTGTTGGAGACGTTTCTCCAAACTTTCCACAAGACCAACCCTTGGGCCCCTTTTACGTGTACTAGGAAGGTATGTGCATGTTGTTCCAAGACGCGTACAATTATTACAAGAAGGTTTATCACCACTACACTTTACTTTTTTCTTTCGACATGCATCACATGCTTGCGTTAGTCGCCTTCGTTTACTAGGTTGAGTTTCAGCAGAATTATTTGCAAAATTATTGTCAATACCAACAGTGGTGGCTGTTAAATATACAGACGTATCCATCGATTATTATAAAATCCAAAAAAAAAACCAATGCAAATCTGATAAAAATAGTACAATGTAAGTGAAAACTCTCACGTATGATATCATCATACCATATCATCAAAAACGAAAATATTCAAAAATGTTACCAGATAATTCCAGGGAACGGCAAAATAGAATTCCTTATTAGTAGTCGACTTTTGTTTTTAGTAAATACAGGGTATGATAATATTTATTATTAACCGACTATCATACTACCTTCTTTGCAAAAAATTTGAGGTTGAGAATGCGGAAACGGAGAAAACTATACCGACGCCTTGTGAAGAAGGGTATATTTATACTTATATCGAAATAATATATATAACTGGTTAATTATACATTCCGTATTTCCGTAATATATTTGGTAAGTTCATTATGCAAGTGATGAACAAAAATATACGATTAAAGTTGCACACAACAAATCATCGATTACAAATACAAATTTTTTTTTTTTTTTGATTCACGGAAATTCCGTGAGTCAATTTTTATTGTATAATGGTAATAATAATAATATTATTATTATTAAATTCTTTGTTAGAAGAATTTGATAAAAATTATATCAGTAATAGATGTTTTTTGACCATCTTCGCTCCTTTAGAAATACGTAGAATAAACGATTAATAATCTTGTAATTAATACGTAATTGTATTAATTGCATCATGAGATCCTTTGAGCTGCATACACCCAAATTTTGAGATTCTTTTATGGGTAAATAAATCATTTTATAACATTAACGTTGGGCTAGACTACGTGAATTTATGTTTGAATATATCTGCGAATATCCGTCCACATGATTAGTCCTTTTAAAAATAGATTTTCCTTATCTTTTACCCATTACTAACATTACTAATACTAAGATTACTAATTGTAAATGCTCCAATACACTTGAAATTACTACTGTACTACTACCGAATAGTCGTATTGCATTTATTTATTTCTAATTATATAGTATCATAACTTTCATTAATTTTATATCAATTCTAATAAAATACCAATTAAAAAAGGCATCGTTATATTTAAACAAATTTCTTTTTTATTAATTTTTTATAAAATGCATAAATGCATGCTTTATATATAAGTTTTCTTAAATATGCGCTCTAGTTTAATAACTTCTTAATAATTTAAAATATATTTGATGTGCTATATTATATATTCTCTAATTTTTTACTCTTTATAAATATATATACCTTGAGGAAGCCTAGTATATATATTGAAAAATTATGATATGGCTTATTGATCTAATTATGATTATGACTTTATAATTTAACTATACCTATTTTCTTATATATTATGTATTTAATTTTTAAGCATGAGTAATTTTTAACAGATTTGAGTTCAGTTAAAAAAGCATTTTAATTTAATTAATTTAATTTTGAAACTTTTAAAAAATTGAATTAGTTCTAAAATTAAACTTCTTAAAATCGATTCAAGAATATATGAATTTATAATAGTAATTTCAGAATTGATTTAGACTAATTTCAAAATAAATATTAAATAACAAATGATATATAATTAATAAAATTGTTTAAATTATTATAATTAAAAATAAATAAATTTTTTTTTAAAAAAGTAAATTTTTCTATTGAAAGATTAATAAAAAGTTTCTTTAAAAAAATAATATTTTATTATAGATAACTTGTAATATATCAACTTATATTTATTATAAAGCAAAATTCTAAATTTGTGATCACTAAATTTTTTGATTATTTAAGATTATCTTAAAACAGGAATAATTTAAATTAATTATCGTCAAAAGTTGAAAATGTTTTTAAAAATAATTTATAAATAATAAATAATTTTATTCACAATAATCCTAATAAATCTATTAGGTTAACTACTTCTAGTAATAATAAAAAGATTTATATATAATATATTAAAATAATTCTTTATTTATAAAAATATAATATTTATAAAATATATTTTTTAAAATATAACAAATATATTATCTATATGAAAATATAATTTAAATAAAAATTGAAACTAATTTTAAAAAGAAATTATAATTATAATCTAATAGAATAAGTTTTTTTAATTAATAAAAATAAATTAATATAATAATTATCTTATTAAATAGATTATTTGTTAACTTTAATTGCTGATTTGTCTAAGATCCAGAGATAATAATGATAATTAAAAAAGGCTATTTTTACATTTTGTGTATATACTAAATTTCTACCCATATGTAAATCTTATTTCACTAGATATATTTATGAAAACTACTATTATAGCCCTTATTCTTCTTATTAGTAGAAAATTTTACCTAATTTATCCAATTCTAAAGAAATTACAACTTATTTTTTTATTTAAATGAAATAAATAACTAAAGCAATACTTAATAATTTCGAATTTATTGTTATATTAATTATTGATAATAAAGATAACAATAGTTTTTTATCAGATTATATGTGTCAATATAATAATACCATAAGAATTGTAAATGATTTAACTAATACTATTTTTGAAGTTTATTCAAGATTTTTACAATAAAAACTTATATTCTGATTTATTAATAATGGGATAGAATGATGAAAATATTGTAAATAAATTGAATGAAGATACTTCTTTTACTTTTTGTTCTTTTTTACTTAAAATAATAGAAATACTTATATTTAACATAGGATATTCAACATGTATTGATTGATATTATGCTAGATTAGAACATAAATTTTCACTTCTTTATATATTTAGAAATAAATAAGCATTATTATTTCTAAAATTAAAGAAACTTTATATACTATTGAAGTTTATTAAAATTAAAAATTTCAAATTATATTAACAAGTAAAAATCCAATTAATGTATAAAAAATTTAGAATTAATAAAAAAATTAAAAAGAATTACCTTTTGGTATTAATAACCATACAATAAAAGTTTTAAATCAAAAACAAAAAGGTCAATATATTCACCTTAAAAATGAAAAAATAATTCTATTATAAAATTACTTTTTAATTTTTATCTAAAACGAAGAATAATTATAAAATTTAATTAACATTAATTACTAGGGTTCCGCAATTCGATTTGATATTTAAATATTTGATTTGATTCGATCAAATTCAAATCAAAGAATAATTTATTTGATCAAATCCAAATTAATGTTTGATTCGATTTGATCAAATTTAAACCAAGTATTCAAATATTTGATTTGATTTAAATCAATAGTAAAGCTATCTCCAAAGCTTTAGGAGTGGCTTTTACTAAGAAAATATAGTAAAAAATGTCTCTGCAACTTCAGAGATATTTTTTACTAAGAAACCTAGTAAAAAAATGTATTCACAGCTTTAGAAATGTTTTTTTACTAATAAAATTATTATGAAACTGAGATGACAGTTATTATTAAGTTTTCTTAGTAAACTGAAACTGCAATGACGATTATTACTAAGTTTCTTAGTAAACCCAAAACTGCGAAATTATTTTACTAAAGTTTAATAGTAAAAATTTACCTGTTACTAAACTTACTTTGTAAAAGCTATCTTTGAAATTTTTTAGTGCAATTACTAATAATTTTCTTAATTAAAACTTTAGAATAACTTTATTTTAATATATCATTGTAAAAATTAAAAAAAATTTATATTCGATTCAATTCAATTTAATTTGATTCGATTAATTTGATTTGATTTGATTCAATTCAATTTGATCAAATTCAAATTGATTCAAATTGATTCAATCAAATATTTGAGTTCAATTTGATTCAACTCAATTTAATTTGAAAAATTCAAATCAAATTCAAATTGCTTAAATATTTGATTTGATTCAATTTTGAGGAATCCTAATTAATACCAATAAATGTCTCAAAATATAACGAATTTATTTACACCTATCGACTTAACTGGAGCTACTCTTCTAACTTCTTCACAACTCAGTTACATACTCCTTGACGTAGTCTTTGAAATCATGTAAAGAAATATAATCCACAAAAACAAATTAAAAAAAATAAAAATCCAGATCGTTTAAAAAAAGAAAATTTAACTTTTAAAGAAACATTGAAAATAGGAAGATCATGGCTTTAACATCAAATTACTAATGATAAAAATTATATGATTTGTATCATTTGCCAAAAAGCAAATAGTAATAACTTGTGAGTAATAACAGGCTCTGATTTCATAAAATTGAAATATATTAAAAGACACGAAAATTCAACTGAGCATAAAAATTTCTTGAAAATTCTTGATTCAAGCTAAACTAATATTAAGGAGGGTGTAAATCAAATATTGGGAATAGAGGTAGAAAATGTAACCACTCAAATGCATAACATTTACTTTCTTTCGTCAAAAAATGTTTCATTAATATTTACCCAAATTTAGCCAATTTAGTTAGCTATTAAAAGAAAATTACGTCTCTTTAGTTAATGATACTTCTTTGCAAGTCTTTTGATCACCAACTTTATCACATCAACAAAAAATCACACAAATATCTAGATCTAATTACGCAACTTATACAAATAAAGTTAGCAGATATGAATAATTAAAATCTTTAGTATAATCTATAGAAAAAGCAGTTATTAATGAAATACGATTATATCTTATTAAAGTTTATTAGTATATGAAAGTAACACTATATCAATGGGTAAAAAGACATTAGCATTAGTTTCAAATATATAGTTAATAATATTCTAACTATACGTTATTTAGGAATTACTGCTATTTCTGATACTTTTGCAGAATCATTACTTAATGTTATTGATTCATCTATTTTACAAAAAGGATTGCCTGCAGATAAATTATATTACTTCAATAGTAATAGAGCATCAAATATTACAGGTTTGTATTATTCAAAAATTTTTATTAATTATTAATTATAATATACTAATTATTAATAAATTATTTATAGGTAAAAATGGGCTAGCTGCTTTATTGAAAAAATAAAATCCTTATTTATCATCAAATCATTATATTGCACATTGGTTGCATTTAACAGCTAAAGATGTTGCTAAAGAAATTTATTATTTTAATGATTATAAGAAAATCGTCAAATCAATCTATACATT